TGGTAGATCTTACATCCCGTAACGTACCACGAGAAGGTGATCTACCCACGTTACGGGGCAACTGCCCTTAAAACCCAGCAATTGCTGTTTTTTTTTCAAATATTTATAGCTCCCTGGAGCGTACTGACGTTTCTGTAAATTTCCTGAGTTTCTTGTTAAGTTAATTGTACTGCAGTGAGGTCCTCTGATGTTCTTTGATTTTATCTAGCCCTAGCATTTCTGAGGCCATTGGAGTTTCTATATAGTATCCAGAGTTTTCCTCAAGATGTTTGGATTTGAGCGTATAGATCTAACTATGTCTAAAGATATAGTAAGGAGAACACTAACTGCTAGGTTTTCATGCCGTTAAGTTTAAATCGATTTTTATTTCTTAGATATTTGTATATGTAGTCTACATTTATTGAAAATTTCAAATAAAACGTATGATTAAAAATAGCATGTAAGGCAACAGCACTATTGTAAAACGGTCTACACTGATTGACGACTAAACTAAACTAAACTAAACTAAACTAAACAGCATTGATTACCGTTGATAAAATAAATTTTGTGCAGTCAGAGTATTTAAGTACCACAAAAGCTAAGCAATCCAAATTAAACCGTTTACTCTTTTCAGTAGAATTCCCCGTTTGACCTCTACAGTCCAAGTTATGTTTCCAGAATATATTTAAGTATTAGAACGAAGTAACAGAATTGATTCGAAATGCAGTCGTGTGATTCATAAACACCGTCTAAATGGATACCAATTCCACAAGTTAGTTGCAATACTGTTTTAACGGGTTTGAATCAAGCGTAAGCATAAATGGTTGGATCGGTTTGTACAAAACCGGAGATTTTCTCTGTATTTTGGTTGTAGTGCATCCAAAACTCGATTTACATCTTTTATTCCATTGGTTAACTGTGAAACATTGTTAAGTTTTACCGTTTATTCCATACACACTATTTTATCCTAGAATAAACTACGAAAATTACCGATACCATTGCGCTACAAAGTAGAATATGTGCAATTTTCCACGCGTTCCCTAGTACCAACTGGATCTCGAATTAAAAATCAACATTCAACTTGCCGAAAGCAAACATTTTTACTGCTTTTCTACGTTCATTCCTGCTCCGAACAAGCTCATCCCTATTCGGTAAACCTTTTCCCAAGAGCAGCCACTTGAACACCTATATTCTACATTCCATGGAATCCCATTTTCGCATGATGCACGAGACGACGTTCACTGTCCAATAATCTCATCTGGACTGCCAGCATACTAACCCACACACACACACATACACACATCCTGACAAGACCTGAATGCACATTCCATAGTTCTCTCTACCTTGATTCACGGTTTCGAAACAAGAAAGGTATGAAAATGGCATTTCTGCAGGAAGCTTTTCGCTTTTTTGGGCAACTCGGGACCTCCAAAGGATGCAAAAAGTGCATCGGTAAATGGGGAGCTACTTGAAGCGAAACGTCCAACGCAGACTGCAGCTCTCTGGATGCTCGCGCCGCGTCCGGCGATGAGGAATGCAACCTTGATGTCTCACCATCCCCCCTCCCTCCCCACCAACAGCGTTATTTTATAACGCATATCGCACCCAGCCCCGTCAGGTGGCACGGGAGCACATTTCTCTGTCTGCTAGTCGTGAGTGAAAACTAATGCTGATGCCACCAGCTCATCCATGACCGCCGTGGGAAATCGTGGGATGCAGCCGGAATTCGGATATTATTTTAACTTGCATGCGCTGTGCATGATGACGGGTTTTTCATTGGATTTGATTGTGTTCAACAGTTGCAACTTTTGATCCTGAACCCTGATTTCACAGCTTGTTGAATCGTTTGTTCCGCTGTAGGTAAACTGGCTGCGCAGCGAATTTCTGGAATCTACTGCAGTGATAATTACCATTACTTATGGGAACAGTGTTGGCGTGGCAGATTTACTACTTTTTTGCCATAGTTTCTTCACTCTGAAAATACAACCTACTAAGCATATCTCGCTAGCAGCTAGGTTTATCCTGAGAACATTATCAGATCATCTACAGAATTTAATGAACGTGTCTGTTGCCATCGACGGTTTTTCGCGTCCAATTACCTTTTGGGTCGCATATCGATTTATCCGGTCCTTCACCACCCATCTTTCACATACGCAAACAATCCTACCCACGTGTCACATCCATCAACTGAAAACCACCTCGATAAAAATTTATGTTGCTCCAATATATATATTTTTACAACACAATTTTCGCTCGTAACATTATTAAATTGACAACATCGGAAGCTGGTCAGCCATTGGGAATATATCCTACGCTACGGAGCAAAAGCCCTGTCGCAGCAAAAAAAAAAATCTGAATGAATCCACCTATGGCAAGATCTGACCCTTCTCACTTATTCAATTTGCGACTACGTTGGTCAAACCTTCATTCAGTTGAAAATTAGTAAGCTAATGCTTGCATTAATTTGATCTATTTTAGTTGTTGTGTCCTAAGCCAGTAAATTTTCATTATGAAATTCCCATTTTGACGTGCACAGATAAAAATTCTGAATTTTAATTGTGATGCAAACATTCATTCACGTAGACGTATTTCATTTCACGCAACCGAGCAACTTGTAAACAAGGTTGTTTACAAAGATGGGATTTTGTACACAATATTTGCTGCATTGCATGAAGGTCTCCTATCCCTAGCTCCCCGTGGTACCGGCCGGGAACTGTGAGCAACCTTAGGGAAGATCGGGGTACCAACCCCGGTGGGAACTTTGGTCATAGGCTGACAGGGAAGGGGGGGAGGGGGTTTGCTTCGGCAAGCCTGAGCGTCTGTTCTCCAGGAGGAGCGGCTCACAACAGCGTCTGTTCCCCATGTTAGGGGCGGCTGATCTACGTCCGTGTGCCAGTGAAGGACTCTAAGCACAACTGTGCACCCTGGTCCTCCGGAAAGTTAGGGGATTGGTGTCAGGCCCTGCAGCATTGCAACGGAAAATCACCAACAGAGGAATACGAACCGAGACCAACGGCAACGACCCCAGCGACGAAATAGCACTTGCGATTGGAAACTCGGCACGTGGAACTGTCGATCTCTCAATTTCATCGGGAGCATCCGAATACTCGCCAATCTACTGAAGGACCGCGGGTTCAGCATCGTAGCGCTGCAGGAGGTGTGTTGGACAGGAGCCATGGTGCGAACGTTCAGAGGTAATCATACCATCTACCAGAGTTGCGGCAACACACGCGAGCTGGGCACAGCTTTCATCGTGATGGGCGAAATGCAGAAGCGCGTAATCGGTTGGTGACCGATCGACGAAAGAATGTGCAGGTTGAGGATCAAGGGCAGACTGTTCAACTTTAGCATAATCAACGTGCACAGCCCTCACTCCGGAAGCACTGATGATGACAAGGACGCATTTTACGCGCAGCTCGACCGCGAGTACGATCGCTGCTAAAGCAACGACGTCAAGATCATTATAGGAGACCTAAACGCTCAGGTAGGCCAGGAGGAGGAATTCAGACCGACGACTGGAAAGTTCAGCACCCACCAGCTGACGAACGGGAACGGCCTACGACTCATCGATTTCGCCGCCTCCAAGAACATGGCCATACGTAGCACCTTTTTCCAACACAGCCTCCCTTATCGTTACATCTGGAGATCACCACGGCAGACGGAATCGCAAATCGACCACGTTCTGATTGATGGACGGCACTTCTCCGACATTATCCGAAATGTGCAAGGATAAGGACGGGAGCCTCTTGACGGACGGACGTGAGGTGATTGAAAGGTAGAAGCAGCACTTCGATGCGCACCTGAATGGCGAGAAGAACGTAGGCACGGGAGACCAGCGCAATGGAGGAAACGACTACGTCAGTGCAGCAGAGGACGGAACTGACCCAACTCCCACGATGAGGGAAGTTAAGGATGCCATTCAGCAGCTCAAAAACAACAAAGCAGCTGGTAAGGATGATATCGCAGCCGAACTCATCAAGATGGGCCCAGAAAAGTTGGCCACCTGCCTGCACCGGATGATAGTCAGGATCTGGGAAACAGAACAGCTACCGGAGGAGTGGAAGGAGGGGGTAATCTGCCCCATTCACAAGAAAGGCGACCATTTGGAATGTGAGAACTTCAGAGCGATCAGCATTTTGAATGCCGCCTACAAAGTGCTATCCCAGATCATCTTCCGTCGTCTATCACCTAAAATTACCGAGTTCGTGGGAAGTTATCAAGCCGGCTTCATCGACGGCCGATCGACAACGGACCAGATCTTCACCGTACGGCAAATCCTCCAGAGATGCTGTGAATATAAGGTCCCAACGCATCATTCGTTCATCGAATTTAAGGCGGCATACGACAGTATCGACCGCACAGAGCTATGAAAAATCATGGGCGAGAACGGCTTTCCTGGGAAGCTGATCAGACTGATCAAAGCAACGATGGACGGTGTGCAAAACTGCGTAAGGATTTCGGGTGAACTATCCAGTTCATTCGAATCTCGCCGGGGACTGCGACAAGGTGATGGACTCTCATGCCTACTCTTCAACATCGCTCTAGAAGGTGTAATGCGACGAGCCGGGCTCAACAGCCGGGGTACGATTTTCACGATATCCGGTCAATTTGTGTGCTTTGCGGACGACATGGACATTATCGCAAGAACATTTGGAACGGTGGCAGAACTATACACCCGCCTGAAACACGAAGCAGCAAAGGTCGGACTGGTGGTGAGTGCGTCAAAAACAAAGTACATGCTAGTAGGCGGAACCAAACATGACAGGATTCGTCTAGGAAGTAATGTCACGTTAGACGGGGATACTTTCTAGGTAGTGGAGAAATTCGTTTACCTTGGATCCTTACTGACGGCTGACAACAATGTGAGTCGTGAAGTACAAAGGCGCATCATCAGTGGAAGTCGTGCCTACTATGGGCTCCAGAAGAAACTACGGTCAAAAAAGATTAACCCCCGCACCAAATGTACCATGTACAGAACGCTAATAAGACCGGTGGTCCTCTATGGACACGAGACATGGACTATGCTCGAGGAGGACCTGAAAGCACTCGGAGTTTTCGAGCGACGTGTGCTTAGGACGATCTTTGGCGGTGTGCAGGAGAACGGTGAGTGGCGGCGAAGAATGAACGACGAGCTCGCTGCACTCTACGGCGAACCCAGCATCCAGAAGGTGGCCAAAGCCGGAAGGATGCGGTGGGCAGGGCATGTTGCAAGAATGCCGGACAACAACCCTGCAAAGTTGATGTTCGCTACTGATCCGGTTGGCACAAGAAGGCGTGGAGCGCAGAGAGCACGATGGGCGGACCAGGTAGAGCGTGATCTAGCGAGCATTGGCATGACCGAGGATGGAGTATTGTGGCGTACTATTGTTGATTATGTCTTATCTTAAATGTGATATTGTACAAATAAATGTATGTATTGGTATGCATTGCATGAAATGTGTCAGAACTTTACATGATATATAATCACTGGCGTGCACAAGGTGGGGCAAGGTGGGGCAATTGCCCCTCCTTTTATAAATAAGATGTTTATTTTCACATTACCAAATTACAATATAAAATAACTTGTTTTCTTGATAACTTGATTTGAAGGTAAATTAACTTCATTTCATACTATAAGGGCAATGAAAACCTTTTATTGCGTCAATTCCTGTGAGATGGTGTCTGAAAATTGCACTACAAAGGTGCATAAAGGGACAAACTTCAATGAATTTTTTTGGTCAAAAAATTGCACCACAGTGATGCATACAAAAAAATCCTGGTTTATTTTTTTTTTCAAGGTGGTTCATGGAGGGATAAAAGAATTGGGTAAATTTAAGGTTGAAAAAATTCACCTTCGTAGTGGTAAACCGAAGAGAAAGCTTTTTATTGAATATCTGGTATAAAAATATCATCAATCATGGAAGGACTAATCAAAATGAAAAACCCTGGTGAAAAAATTGAATCACGCTAAAAATTTGGAAATTTATGGTGGAAAATTTGCACCATTCTGGTGCCTGAGAATTGCACCACAAAGGTGCATGGTAAAGCAAACGTGACTGACAATTATTGGTGCACCATTCTGGTGAATGGAGGAGAATGCTTTATTGAAAATTTCTGGTGCAAAATTTGTATCGCTGCAAATAAAATTAACAGAAAACTTCTGGTGGAAAACTTGCACTGGTCTGGTTATTTCGGAAAATGTTTGGTCTCAAATTTGCATCCTTTTGCTCAATAGAGGAACAAACTTTAATTATAATGTCTGGTGTAAAAAGGCACAAGCGTAAAAAAGCACAAGATTTATTGAAAAAAAAAAAAAAAATAATTGCGCCATTCTTATGATTGGAGGGAACCTGCTTTACTGAAAATTTATGCTGAAAAATTTGAAAATAGGGGCAAGCTTTATTTGGTGGAAAACCTGCTACATTCTTATGATAGGAGAAGCAAGCTATATTGACAATGTCTGGTGGAAAATAGAAAAAGGAAATCTGCACCAATCAGAAGATTGGAGAACAATTTTTATTGAACATTAACGGTGAAACATTTGCATCGTTCTGGTCAGTTGAAATTTCCTGGAGTACAATTTTCTGGTGTACAATATTCTGGTGTTAAATTTTCTGGGGGCAAGTTTGTATTGAAAATTTTTGGTGTAAGATTCAATCTGCTGCATGAAGGGGTTAGCTGAATTGAAAATTCCTGATGTAAAAATTGCACAGTTCTGGTGAATGGAGGGGCAAGCTTTATTGGACATTTCTCGTAGAAAAACTACAATGTTTTGGTAAATGGACGGACAACTTAAACTTGACTTCCGAGAAGAACCTCAAGGGTATTGAATTCTGAAGAGAAGTTCCAAAAGAAAAGATTTCTGGGGATGATTCCATGAAAGTTCTGCGAATAATTTCTAGTCAATCTTGCAGATAGTTGCAAGATAATTTCGAAAATAATATCGAGTAAATCAAATTTTGAATGAAATTCCAAAGAGATGTTGGGGAAAATGTCAAGGAAATTCCGAGGATGATTTCAAATTCATTTTGGGGAGAATTTCTAGAGAATACAGAGGAAATTCTTCTGAAACATTAGGGGAATTTCAGTTCCAAGGTATTCTGAGAAAAAAAAAGTTCTATAATATTCCGAGAAGAACCTCAAGGATATTGAATTCTAAGGACAGTTCCAAAATATTTTTGGAGAGAATTCAAAGAAAATTCTGCGGATAATTTCTAGTGCATTCTGCAGATAGTTACAAGATAAAATACCGAGAAAATTAAATGTTGTCTGAACTTCCAAAGGGATTTTAAGCAAAATTTCAAGCGAATTCGGAGGATAATTTCTAGCTCATTCCAGGAATAATTTCTGAAACTCTAAAGGAATTTCAGTTCCAAGGTGTTCTGAGAAAAAAATCATGAAGAATTGTGAATATAATTCCAGTGGACTTCTAAGAAGAGTTTCAAAAGAGCTCTTCGGAGAGTTCTAAAAAATCCGATATTGAATTCTGAGGACTGTTCCAAAAAATTTCTGGGGAGTATTCCAAGAAATGTCTGCGAATAATTTCTAGTGAATCCTGCAGATAGTTCCAAGATAATTCCGAAAAGAATACCGAGAAAATTAAATTTTGAGTGAAATTCCAAAGGAATTTTGAGGAAAATTTCAAGGGAGTACCAATAATTTCTAGCTCATTCCAGGAATAATTTCTAGATAATACTGAGGAAATTCTTCTGAAACTCTAAGGGAATTTCAGTTCCAAGGTGTTCTGAGTAAAAGTCAAGAATAATTCTAAAAATAATTCCAGAGGACTTCTGAGAAGAGTTTCAAAAGAGCTCATAGAGTTCTAAAAAATTCTACAAGAACCTAAGGAATTCTGAGGATGGACTTTTTCGCAACTGTACAAAGTTTATAGACAGCTTTTGGATTCCATAATTGAAAATTAGGCATAAGTTTGCCATTGAACCTTGGTCGATTGTTGTCTTACTAAGAATTTGACTAAGAATCTTCTCTGAAAATTTCAAGTCATTTGTTACCATGGTTGACATGCGCATTCCTTTGCACAAGTTGTCATTCCGTTAACAATCCTGTACTCGTTTATCAAAATAGTTTTGTGCGCCTTTGTTCCAATCGTTATATATTCTTTAAACCTTTTAATGATCCTATTAACCTTGGCATTTAGGTCAAAATTTGAAAAAAATTTAAACTACAATTTTCGCTGAAAATGACCAAGTTCAACGTTCTCGCAACGGTAACAGTAAAGTGACTTCAACTACCTATAAGGGCTTACAAAAATACTTACTTGAAATAGTCAAAAATTGTAACGATGTCTTCAAAATATGCAAAAACGTACTGCACAAAATTTCATTAAGGTAACTGAATAAAAGATGATACCAGTACCTTGAAGAATATATTTTCTTTGATTTGTATTTTTAACCTGTAAAGAAGAGCATGCCGCAAAACATTATTACAACGATTCCTACAGGGTTCAGAAATTGGAAGAAATCGACCGAGATGCTGGGCAAACACAATCGCAGTGACACCCATGTTGGAAGTATGGAAGCGTGGAAGAATTTCAAAACCAGGAAGGCTATCGACGAAGAACTGGACCACAAAAAAACAGCTATGATTACTGCTAGTAAGGCAAAGCGGCTACAAAATCGCTATATAATGGAACATTTGATCGAAATTGTGCGCATACTTTGCAAAGGTAGCCGACCACTTTGTGGAAGGAGCGGAAAGTGTGCCACCCAGTTGGTGGCTAACTACGATCCTGTGCTGGAAAAACACTTGGCGGAAGGTGCCAAAAATTGCCAGTATACAAGTAACCGTATTCAAAATGACATGATTACGTCGTTGCACAATGTAATGTAAAGAAGATGAACCACCACCGGAGCAAAAATTAAATAAAATTAGCTAAATTGAACAGTAGGGAAAAAGTGGGAGGATGACAGCACCATCTACCACGTACTTTGCAGTACTCCCCATCCCATATGCACCATAGAAAAAAATTGCCTCTCCTTCACAAGATTCCTGTGCACGCTAGTGACAGGACGTGACGAATTTTTGCAGTAAATTTCAAATAGTAATTTCTCATGCTTGTGCATCATGATTTAGATATATTTGGCAGCACTGGATAGCTTATACTGTTAGGTGTAAGATTTAAACAAACAATGTTGAGTAAACGTAAAGATGTCGAAACAAGAGAGCAATCTGTCAGCCGTTGTCGCTTTGTTGCGCGCCGGAGTATGCATGGAAGAAATAATTCGGTCGGTAAATGTGTCTGAAAGAACAGTGTATAATATTAAAAAAGGCTTGGGAAAGTGATAAGACGGAGCACCTGCTCATACTGCTAATAAAGCACAGAAATGGCTTACGGAAAATATTTCGTAAATTTGGCAGGAAGAAATTTGGCCCCAAGCAGTACCGATATCAATCCGTTGGATTATTTTGTATAGGGCGTCGTCCAACGGGATACCAATAGAACACCTCACACCACACTTAAGTCGCTAAAAGCTAAAATCAAGGCAGTGATGACATCTATGGATCGAAACATTTTAAAACGTGCATACTGCAGTTTCCGGAAGCGTCTAACTACAGTCGTCGAAAGGGAAGGCAATTTTTTTGAATAAATTTACTTACAACTTCCATATGTTGCGAAAGAAAATAAATCGCACAAAATTCATTGCTAGAATAACTAACTGGTGTATTTTTTCTCAAATATGCCATTTACTGCAAAAATTCGTCACGCACCCTGTATATAATGTAAACGAATATGATATGTGACGCTCCATTTATGTACATTATATTGAACAGCAATTTACTCTACTTTTTCGAACTGTGTAGCACTACGTCTTTGTGGACTATACTGGGGTGCTAATAAAAAAATAGGTGTCGAAATAATGTAAGGTTTTGAATACTTATAACATGGTCATCTATGAATGGATTTTAATTTTAATTGCACCAATTGATTCAAATTGGATGTAAAATTAGTTTGGTATAAAGATCATAATAGCTTATTAATGGTTAACTTTTGAAAATTGATCAAACTTTTTTATATTTGGATTATATATTCTCACGTAAATTAAGCATGAACTATAGCCTGTAAATATTTATTTAATGTGATGGAATTTGTTTTAAGCGTTTGT